ACTTTGACAGTTGTGAAACAGTTGTCCTACAGGTCTGGCCAAGTTCATCTGTTCTCTGCTGAACATCCTAATATGGTCCAAAATCTTTTAAGCTTTCTTGTTCCCCTGCAGCCACTGGAGTAAAAGACCTCAGTGCTCTTCTGAACAGCTCAATGATAAGAAGGCTTAGGCAGTATGGAAAGGAAAACAGATCTGGTAATACAAAAAAAAGTGGTTTATGCCCTTAGTGAATGCTGGCTCTTCACCTCAAATGCTATGTAGTTTTCATGTTACCCATTAAAAAACAGATGTAGAAAATACTAAGTTCATTAGGGAATAAACAAAAGTCACACAAAGTAAAGTAGAATTGCAAGATAAAATTTAATAAAAATTTATTCATGTTCAGGGTTTTTTTTATCATAGTGCTAAACTGACCTTGGTTTTCATTGCCACAGGATGCATAAACAGAGAAATATTGATGCAGAAGCAAGTATAAAAAGATACAGGCAGGCAGTTGTCCATTTAGATGGCATATTGTTTTCTGCTTATAGTAGCATAAATTCCTATGAAGATTTTCTGTCTTCATGCTTCAAGAGAGGAAATAAATTGTATTCCTTTATTTAAAACACTTGATATATAGAAAACAAAAACAGATCATTGATTTGGTCTGTGATATGATTATGTTTTACTCTAGACATTATTGTACTAATAATTCTAAAATGTTTTAAGTGCCTCATTCAGGTTAGATGTGTTTTGTTTTAATTTCACAGGATAATCTTAATAAGAATGCCTTAATCACCTTTTAATGTCAGAAAAGAAGTACAAATAATAATGACTTCATATATAGCAATAAAGTTTTGTGATATCAGGATGTATATTTTCTTTTTCTTCTTCTTTGTTAGTTGTAGGTCAGCACTGACAGACACTAAATTTGAAATTGTGTTCTCAGTCCTGAAAAGAATTCAGCTTTTTTTTTTTTTAATAAAAATAAGAGCGCTAATTCAACAGCACTGACTGCCTCAGTAGTTACAAGAAAAGAGCAGAACCGTCTGTCACAATAATTCCCACACAAACAGTGAGGAGCCAGAACTCTTCCTGTAGATTTTTATGACCATCCTTTGTGAAATTTTTCATTCTTCAAGATAATATATCAGGCAAGTGCAGTGACTAATAGCTGCACTTCTTGGACATTTTTGGATTTATTTTGGCTCATTTTGAGAGATGTCATAGAGTGCTCAATTTTAATGTTTTGGGCTTTCATCACAGGCTTGATGTTTGCTCATTTGGCTTCTCTTTTTCTAAGAATTTCCTTTTTCTTATGCAGCTTCTTTCAGTTGATTTCCAAGAAGATATTTATATTGGATATCTAAAGTGATGAGATATCTTCAGTATTAATTAATTGATTGCCACAATTGTAGTAATTGATCATGAGATCTGTAAATTGAGAGATTGTATAGTGGTATTCATTTCCTTTGTGTTTTAGACTCATGAAGATGAATAAACTTGTCCACTGAGTTCCAAATAACAATATCTGCCTGCATTCTTGAGAAGTAACAGTCTCAGCAAGGACCAGTGGTCATGTAGCCAGAATTCCCCTGGTCTTCCAAGCTGACAGAATTTTCTACCTGAAATTTGTTTACCCATACACTCATGGGTGAATGAAATATCTTTTAAATTATGCAATTTTCCTGAGTATTGAAAACACCTAGAGGTTGTCCCACACATTTACAACTAACATGTCTGGTGGTTATTACAAAAAAACCTGTAATCAGTCCTATTAGGCCAAAAATTGCCTAGGCATTTTGGTTAATTTGCAGCTATCACTGTGAGCAAAGTGGAATAATTTAAAAAGAGTTTAGATAGGCTGACTAAATAAGCTGTATAAAATAAATAATTGCACAGACTTCCTTAATCTGTTTCCCTTCCTGCTTCCCCTCTCCTTCCAGTTCCTTGAAATTCATTCCTTCATTTCTTCTTTCCTTACATTTATTTATGGCTTTCTCCACCAGTCTCTCTTCTCCTTTGCATCTCTGAGGTTTCCTCCAAGGAAAGCCTTCCTATGTTTAACCATTACTTTTTCAGGGCACACACTCTCAACATATACATCAAGAAACAGAAAAGCATTATCTACTGTCACTGTCTCTGCAGGCTTATATGAGTTCCATTTTCACATTTTCATTTATGTTTTAAAACCCCTCAGATTCATCTCCACTCAGGTCTGCTTCCTTTTAGGATCCCTGGTACAGCAGAAGAATGTGATTGTTCAAGGAACTGCAATTCAGGTTAAAAGTGGAGATAAACACAAAACATTTCTGTTGAGGGGCAAGAAAGTATAGAGTAGAGAAATTCAAAGCAGGGAGTCAGGCTGAGGAGGCAAACACCAAGAACCAACTAAAACCCCATAAATTGTCTGATTGAGAAGTTTGAGAGTTCCCTCCATCATGCTTGTGGCTGCATTTCCAGATAGTTCACTAACACTTACATCCCATCTGGAATGGCAGCTTGCACTCACCAGCATATTTAACTTTTTTCACATCAACATTTCATGAAAAAAATACTTTTTGTGCTTCCTCATCTGTGATGCAGTAAAAAGCAGCTGGTAAACAGAACTTGACACGTAGTCCAAAATAGTTTCTAATGAAATATTTTTAAACTACAAAGGGTTAAAATATCTCATTTCCAGGCCATTGTCCCAAACAGTACCACTATCTGTCGTTCTCTTTTATATATTCCTTCTTTTTATTCCTCTGCCTTATTTAGGTTTCCAGACCTATCCAAGGTGGAAAACACTCCTAACTGGGAAGCTGATGTGAACAGACATTCAGGTGACATGACTATGTAGGAAGAAAAAGCTGTAGCAGGTAGGAAAAACAAAGTGTAATATAATGCTAAAAATTTCTTTTGTTCAGATTGTCCACCCGGTTTAAAACACAATGAAATAAGTTTCATATGGCAATTTTATAGAAAAATCACCTTAACTACCATTATGTTTTACAGTGTTTTTCAGTATTTTTTTACTCTAGTGAGTGGGGATTTCAATCTTCTTCTGATCATCGAAAAGTATTTCCATTCTACTCTTGTTCACTTTAAATACATTTCACTGTTCAGGCCTTTAACTAGCTCAGTAAAACGATTCAGATCTGAACTCTATCACTCCATTGACTGAACTTTGCAATTTAAAACTAATGTGCTGTTGCACTGTCTACCGGCACTCCTAATGGACAACTTTAACATTGTTTAGATGCCAGGTAATTTGTTACAACCTGAATTTCCTCTTCTACTTAATGGCTGAAAGTTAAATGTTTGCCATCAAAACCAGTGGTCTGTTGAACATTGATCCATGGGAGAACAGTGAACCTATGTCTCTGCAAATTTGTAAGTCATCTAAGAGGCAAAGCAAAGCTGACCTCGTAATGTCAAATCCCATTTAGAGCTGTGAATAGGTTGGAAAGAAGGTACTTGATATCTTTTGAGCAGTATTAAAAATACACATCTGTGCAGAGAGATGGAAGCCTTGGTAAATTAATGTAGGGAGTCTGGCCTTTCCAAATAATTTATAGCTGAATTTTGTGTTTTAGGAGGAATGGGATGCAGTTAATAAGTGTTGTGACTTCAGTAAACAGTTTCTGAGCACATTGGCTTCCAGATAAGTGTTAGAAGCTGTAGCTTTGCCCTTCTGTGTACACAATTTTATTTTAAATTGTCTTTCCTTAAGCCTCATTAGTAATTGCACTTCTAACTTCACTCAAAAGTGCTATCTCACATCACTTAGCTAAAGCATCCATTTAGAGTTGAAATATATATCTAAATGCATTTTACAAAATATGAAACTTTCATTTAGTCTATATTTCATTTAAATTCTTCTTATTCACTAGTTACAGGCCACAGGAGCACCTCGGCATAGGTGCATGAGGCTGGGGCTGATGCCCCACTCAAGACTTGTATTTCCATTTCCCTTCCAGGTCTCTATTGTCTTCTCTTGATAAATTTACTCTCCTGGATGTCAGCTATGAAACTTTTTGGGGCTTCCAGACTTGCACCTTTAAGATCTGACTCACACAACTTGCAATTTGCTGCATAATTTACTGGATAGCTATCCACTTTATTTGGCTAAACTAGCAAGCATTGTTGCTGTTTAATGTTAATTTTTGCAAAATGGGAATTAAATTTTTAAAGACTTTTTTAAAAACAAAACTTAAAAACTGAAAATGAAAATGTTTAGGTAGTAAAACTTTTGCTTTTAGGGCTTTCAAAGCCTCTGAGCAAATGCAAGAAAGAGCTCCATCCACTCTATTTCCAGAGTGTCACTGCACTGTTTTAAACACATACACACTGGCAACACCCAGGGCAGGATTTGAAATGGAAATCAAAAGTTCTTTTGAAGGGCAGTAGCAATTTATCAGAATTGTCAGAGACCAGTGAAGAGGATGGTTGTTGGATATAAAAACAAGATGTGACTCTGATGGTTGTGTGTGCTAATATATTTATGAATTTGGGCAGAAAGATGATCGGGCACTTCATCTGTGTCTAATGCAATTTCATGCAGATTCTCACCAGTTGTGACCTCTTTGCGTTCCTCCAGAATGTTATGCCTGAAATAGCTTGCCCTCTTCATCCCAGTATTTTTTATTAGGCTTCTGCTGTAGCCAAAACCCACAAAATCTAACTATGCAGCCTGTGGAGTGCAATGCTTTCTGAGGAATTTAAGTGGAGCCAAAAACCAAGCTCCAATTAGACAGCTTGCTACATTCTCACCATGGAGAGGAGACAGCATGTAAACTACCCACATGCATTAATTATAATCTCCTCCCCTGCTTTCCATTTTTCAGCTTGCCAACTCTCTCTCCCCAAAATGAATTCTCCTGCCCTTCCTTTCAGGCTAAGATTAGCAGGTTTTGCCCCCTGAAATTAAAAGGAGATGGGCACAGCCAAAAAAGGCTGGTCTGTGGGGAACCAACCAGGCTGGTGTATGTGGGTTTTTTTTGGGTTTTTTTTTCTGTTTTGTTTTTCTTTTTCACTGAGTCATTGGTGGTTAAGAGTGACAGTGGGGAACAATTAGTGTTTTCATAAAACTTAGACTTAGGGCTGAGGAGAGAGCAGGAAGCAATATATCTGTGGTGAGTAAGCCTCAAGAGCCATAATTTCCCTGTTTGTTTCAGTTGAGATGAGTGCCACCCTGTTGTTTGTTTTATAAACTGTTTAATAAACTGTAATGTTTATTAACAGTAATCCATTAAGATCATCTCCTTTGAGACCTTTCCTGTACAGTCAGTGCTCTGCACTTCAACGAGGAACCCAGTTTTATTTTCCTCTTGTTTCTTGTTTTGCACCAATTCAGAAACTTTAATGATTTTCTCTGAACTTTTATACCATGCTGCACACAGAAAGAGATCTTAAAGCTGTTTAGGCAAACTCTGTCAGCTTTAGACATGTCATGCAGAAAAATAGTGAAGTCTAAAATATGTGTATGTGAGCCCCATCGTCTGAAATTTTAACAGCTCCATTTCCTTGCTAGGATGTAAGAAAATTAGCTGTGCTATGTCATGTGGTGGATCAAGGTGGGAGGTAGCACAGGTGGTCATAACAACTGCAAAGGTTTTATTACAGAAGGCTCTGCTCATTTTTAATAAAATTGTCCTTGGAACCCAGCTAGCCAGAAATTAATAGGAAGCTTGCAATGATTTTTTTTTTCCTCAGGAAAGCACTCTGAAATTTCACATAGTGAAAATCACTTATCAGTGCATCTAAACCAAGTTTTATTTTAAAATACAGTTTTTAATTAAAGTTTGCAATTCTGAGCCTGCTGCTAGTACCTGATATCTTGCTAAAAGGTCACAGCACTGGTGGCATTAATGGCATGAGAAGCTGATATAGGAGATTATGAATGTTCAAATTGCCTTTCAGTGCAAGTTTCTCATTAGGAGGGGCTGCAGGCATTGCTGGCTGAGGGCAGGTTTAGTGATGGAAGTGAGGTGCTCGTTCTTTGGCATGGTTGTTGTCACAGAAACCAGAATTTTTCCTAGAGTGGATGTGAGCAGGGAAGGGGCCAATACCTGGCCATGGTCTCAGATCCCTCTTTAGAGGAGGGTGTTGCTCCAGCAGCCCCAGCAGAGGTGTTGTGGGCAGGTGGGGATGGTGACTGGGGGGCAGTCATGCCCTAACCCCTGGAGATAGCAGGGGCACAAATATCCCCTCCTGCCCAAGCCTTATGAGTTGTCCTTACCAAGAGCAGGAGCTGCTTCATGTGGCTTGTGTCCCTCACCCTTCAGGTGACAAAAGTGACTTTGCCTGTAGTGCTGGAAAACCTTTAACTGGATTGGTTCCAGTTTTATCTTGAGATGTGAACAGAAGATCCTTGAGCTGTTTTGCTGCAGCTGACAGCGATACAGGGGACTGTGGAGCTTTGGGCACTTGCCAGAGGAGAGAGGAGATGCAGCTATTCTCACAGTGGCATTGCAGAGAGCTAAAGAGAAGCAAATTTAATTTGGAAGATGTGAAAGGACCTCACAAAATGAGGCAGAAGTAGGTGTTTCTTGCTGGGGGTCTGGCATTGCTGTATTCCGAGCTCCTGAGGCAGCCTGGTGTCACATCTCCTGCCTCTGGAGCTTATCCAAAGTAAAGCAGAGCAAGGAACTTTGTACAGCAACGTGAGGAACTCTGGTGCTGCCTGAGCCAGCAACCTGGAGCTGCTGCTGTGCAGGGCAGGCAAAGGACAAGACTTGAAAATCCTCCAGTTTGGCATGGAGGAAGATGCTAAGGAGGCCTTAGAGCCAATGCTCTCCAGCAGTAAGCACAAGACTAAGACATCTGCAAACAACCCCAAGGATAGATTGGGCACAGCCTTATTACTCTGGTCATAACTCTGAATTACTATTACTTTAAAAATATATTGGTCTAGTGAAAGCTGAAATTAAGTGGAACATATTGCTGCTGCCCTCGGGGATCTGGCATGGAACCACCACTGAAAGCAGAAACGATCATTTGCAAACAGAACAGAAACCAGAGCTCTGAGAGTCAGAGGCACTTGCTTCAGAACATCTGCCAGATGAGCCATGGCATAAGCTGCAGCGTTAGATTATATGTGTTGGGCTGTTGGGTTTTGTTGCTATTTTCTTTTAAAATTGCTGTTTGGTCTCATATAAAGCCATGAATCTTTGCCAAAGACAGTGCTGAGGGTGAAGATCCAGATGAAGTAATTATGTCTAGCACAGGGTCTCTGAGAGATTGTATTTCCAAACTTGTGTTATCAGTATGAAAGTGAGTTAGCAGTAGCAGATTTTTCTAAGTACAGAGGTGGTCAGAATGCCTCAGAAAATAAACAAACAAATAAAAGGGCACCTTTAAAAGGCTTTTATTAAGGAATGCAAAATCTGAGCTATGGCTCCAGCCATATTGAGGAAACCACCATGACAGAAAATACTACCTGCAGTTGCTAAAAGCAGCTATAGAGTGAGGTTTTAAAAATAGTGTCTCTGCTTATTTTTCTTGTATAGAGAAAAAACTGCTTGTTATAAACAATTATTCTTATTTTATTAAGTATCCTTTCTGTAAGAAGATAAACCAAGTAAACTTTCTAATTTGGAGCCTTGGGAACTACAACACTTTCCAAAGAAGTCATCTATGGAAATTGGTGGTGACAACACAGGCCTTAGGTAGGTCACAGTGATATCAAAAAGGGACTTTTGTCATTGTAGAGAAATTCTTGCTCAGGCAGAAGAGGTTATGTCAGTGTAAGGCAAGATGGGAGGGAAGCAAAGGTCTTTTGTGCCCAGGAGAGTTTTATATGGGCAATAACCTCCCCTTGATGAGCTGGCTGAGCCTGGGGATGTGATTTATCTGGTGCTAATGAGCTTTCTGCTGCCACCAAACACCTGAGACAACACAGGGTGTCTCAGAGATTAGCTGACTACAGTTAGGAACTTGCTTTCTTGTGCTGGAGACTTTTTATTAGGCTGACTGCCATTAGGGCTGTGTTTGGCTGAGGAAGGTGGAGGAAGTGGAAAACTGTTATTCTAAGAAGATCTTTGTGCAGAGGTCTGTGTTAGAGGTTCAAGGCCAAGCAATAGATCTTAGAAACTGAGTTTCTCAACACAGCTTTTGTGTTGCTCAGCAGCCAGGAAAACAACCTAAGGATAATGGCTTTTGAGAAAGGTAAAGACTAAATAACTTTCGGTTTTCTCATTAAAATCTTCTCATTATTTAGAAAGATATTCGCCTAAGACAGCAAAATACTTTTTTGTATTTCAGGCTTCCTCTGAACTTGGGCCTCTGAAAAGTTTATACTGTTAAGCAGACAGAAAGAACAAAAAAATGGAAGGAACTGCTTGCTCCAGCTAACAAAGCGCACCCAGGAATTAAATCCAGGCTGCATTATCCCCCCACCCTACATGCAGCCTGAGGATGCTGATTTGGCCAGTACCAGGCTGCTCTGTATTGGTGAGTGACACACAGTCTTCATACTTAGGAAAAAAAGTACAGTCACTGATAAGCCTCTCGATGTGCCTTGTCCTTTTAACAACAAAGTTAACCAGCAGAGGAGGCTTTGCATGTAAATGAAGCTCTCTTCAGGTTTCAAATCTAATCTAAGTGGAATTCAACTTTCTTCTAAAGGATATGCAAAACTAGTTGGTCAAACATCCTTCAGCCTCTAAGTTTATCACCAGCCTGACGTCAGCCTGGAAATCCCAACTTTCTTAAGAGATGATAAATGTTATCTGCCAATCTCTTCCACTGAATAAACTCTGTTTGATCTGCATTAATCACACTTGGCAGAAGCTGTTCAAGCCTGCTAGCAGCAATCCTGGTGAACAGCTTGGCATCATTGCTTAATAATGAAGTGGAACAGTATGAAAAAAAACATGAAGGAGCCTCCTTTTCATTGCTGCCCCAAAGTTAATGAAACACACATTAAAATGTATGGTTTGAAATATTCACTAGATCTGAAACTGTCTTCTTGTAATCATATTATTGCTCTCAAGGGCAAAACATATCCCTTTCTTTTTCCCTTTTCTGCTATAATGCTATGTGTCAGAAGTGCACAGAAATACCAGAAACTTCTGTAATTTTTGATACTTTTTATCATTTTAATAAATGAGTGTTCGATGTCCTGAATTAATCTTCACAAATTTTGGCCAAGAATGTTTGAGTCATTATTGCTTTCACTCCAATATGATGAAGCACAGTTCAGAGCTCAACAATTCCTGCCATTTTCCTTAGTAAGGAGAGAGGGCCTGGGACAGGTCTGTGCATCACTTGAGCCCAGCAAACCCTGTTTTGGGATCAGTTCTCCAGATATTTAAGCAGTGACTGGAACACATGCTGAGAATTTCCACAAAAATTCTCTGTCTGGTTGCAGATTCTCATCCAGCAAATGTTTCAAAACCTTTTTCAGTGACTTTGCTTGGGTGTGTGGCTGCACTAAACTCAATGGGACTGTTGACACAGGGGAAGTCTAGCCCAGAAATAAGGAATTGATAGAAATATCTATTAGAGTAATCAGGGAGAGTGAGAGTCCTGGGGGGTTACATAGCACCTGCCTTGGTTTGGAATAAACGGGAAGAGGGAGTAATAAAGAAAGTGAGCAGAGAGGGAAGTACAGAGAGTGGAGTCACAGAACTGAAAAATGAGATGTAAGAATGGAAAAGAACAGAGGAGGCAAAGTGAGAACAGTGAAAATATTTAGTTTGCTTGTGGCTAGATGGGGAAAATAAGAAAGAAGGGAAAGATCATCTCCAAGACCTTTCATACAGTTTCTGGGTGTGCAGGGCCCACTCAGCAATTTCTCACCATGTTCTACTGAGGAATCTCTCTTGTAGAAAAGAACATTTGCAAAACTAATGTGACTGACAAAGGAAAAAAAAAACACCAATTGACTTTCTCCCCTAAAAAAGATAGTAGACTTCTCTGGAGACATTTACAATATTTCCATGTCAGGAGAGTGCAGGGATGTAAGGATAACATTGCTGATCTTCTTTATAAGTGTTGATTCATCTCAGCTTAAGCCTTGAATTTTTGAGACTAAAAGACAACTTAAACACAGTTTTTTCGAAGCATCATCATCATTTTGTGGGCCTCTGGACATTTTCCTAAACTTTTATTTCTGAAGGTCAAAGTTACTTTAAAACATATTGATAAGTAAAAAAAAGCATATTCCATCCTACTATTCCAACAGATTCAGTAAACCCATCCTGTTAAAATATAAACTTCTTCCTCTAACCTATAATATACACTACTATTGACTTTTTCTAATTAAAAACTGTGTAATTTGAATCCTGAGAGACACACGCCCTCTGGAATCATGTAACATTGTAGTTAAAGTAACAATGAACCTTCTTCTTTTCCTCAGGAATTTTTTGCATTGCACAAAAGTTTATTACAGAAGGGAAGGCTTAGAATGAATAAAAAAATAAGAAATTATGGCATAAACATACATTAATAAGGTATTAGTATGATGTATGACATTTTTTCTGAAGTTTGTATATTCAGACAAAGAAATCAAGAAGGAATTCATTAAGTTATCACATTTTCAGAAGATAGGTCTAAATACTTCAGTTTAGTGCTGGCCACAGAAGTTACTTTCATTCTTAAAACAAATTAATTACTGAAATCTCACTTGGATGCTTGAGCTTGCACATTAGACACTTGGAAGTCTATGAAAATATTTCATTAATTACTGGTGGGCCAAAACATTTCCTATTACTGGTAACGTGTGTTTTCTTTCTTGAAGAAACCTACAATGATGCCTCATGAATTTACAGGGATTTGCTACTTATTCATCTCCCTGGAAATACACTTTTGGCTATGCCCACAAATAACATGTTTTTAATTCTATTTCATTAAAGAATTGCAGTATCCATATGGCAATATATATGTAATGCATAGTATATTAATTCAAATTACTCTCCCCTCTCTAAGAAACTGCCAGTTTAGTGAGACATCACAAATAAAGTGCAATCTGAAAAAAAAATCTCTCACCTATAATTGCTCAAAGCATGCATTCTCTCTCCAAGCTTCATTTTCACTGCATGTGTAATGTTTTTAAAGTGGTGTTGAATGTAATGCCTTTTACTCTGAACATTCTTCACTTCCTGGCTCGCATTTCCTTCTTGATATAAGAGGGAAAAGTTGAAATTGCTTCTAGACATGTAGGGAAAGCACTAGAATACAGATTAAATTCTTTACAAGGTTTGATAAGTCAGGAGTCCACTACCTCCGAAGCAGTTAGGCTACTCAATAATGAGGCAATGTTAATTAATTAATGTGCTTGTACTGGAGGATCCTTTTACAAACGTATGTATATATGTATATTCATATATCTGTGTATATATATGTATCTATGTTTAAATATATTAAGTGACTGAGGCCACATTATTTTGTTTTTGCTATTCAAAGGAGCATTTTCTAAAGCCTCTACTGAAAACTGAATCTAACCACACAAAACAGGAAGAATATAATAAAAGGAAATAATCTATATGATGAGAAAGAAATGTATGAAAGAAGACTTATCAAAAAAGTATGGACCCAGAATAAGGGCTGGTATGGAAACAAAAAATTATGGCTAAATTGGAACTTTTATTCCCAAGTTCCAAAATGGTAGACTACACAGAATTGAATTTTACATCCATCTGCGGGAATATTTTCTCTCAGACACATTTTAAACCCAGAGTCTAAAAGCAACTATTGTCCAAATGCATTTTTGTTAGGAACTTTCGTATCTAAATGTAGTTGGTGAGACAAAGAATAGTTTATAGTGGCATGATATATACATATTGGTAACCACAGTGTCTCAAATTCTTTTTTTTTAATGTTTTTTTGGGCGTTTGTGTAAATGGCAAGGTTCCTGCAATTTCAGTTCCCTTAAAACAACCGTATGGTTGGAAAAGGATAATTTATGAGGAGTGGTGCTGTTTTGAAAACATGCAGCTTTTAGTATCAATCTGAATTTTTCAGGTAAAGGATAAAAATTGTATTGAGTAATATAGAAAACAGAAGACCTTTTCAAAGGTTAATGTAAATAGCAGGATACCATTTAGACCATTCTTTTTTTATTATTATTTTGTTTATTGAGATTAAAGGACTTATTGCTGTTCTGAAGTGAAACTTCAGTACCCTAGGGAAGGAAAAAATCTTTGGTGAGGAATTCAGATACTGCTTACAGACACAAGCTCCATGGTGTGAAATATCTGAGGATGCTGCTACAGAGGATGCTTAAAAACTTGCAAGATGGTCGGCAAGTTGGAAATCTTTGCTCACTTCAACACAGGTTTTATTAGCCATGTATTTATACCTTAGACAAAATGGTTATTATTTATGAATAAATTCACTTAGCAAATCCATATTAAAATGGCAAGTACTCTGCTGTATTTCTTTCAGGACATCTCATCATTGCAGGACAGACAAAACTGTGAAGGACCTGGAGATTAGACGGTGATCTCAGGATAATGAACAATGAATACATGTGCATGCTGGCTAGATGGACTTGATCAAGATGTTATAAACACCATTGTCAAGGAGGTGTAAAAGTGATGGAAGCACATTTCTGAAGGTGGCTCATCAGGATTTCTGGTAAGCACATTTTTGGCTTCATTTTCTGCTATAATCTTTGGTGTGAGCAACTAAATCATTCCCCAGATTTTAACTTCATGACTACAGGAAGCTGGAATGTTGAGGTAAATGTATTTATCTTCCCAAGGGAAGAAAACAGGCATTGCCAATGACAGCTTGAGAGCTACCAGTCTCAATTTTCCTCCTGTATGGATTTGACTCTCTCAGTAACCTGCCAGGTCTCTCTCCTCACCTTTATTTCCTTTTTCTCAAGTTTCAAGTTTGCTGTTGGTGTTCTCTAGTGCTTGTTAAAGCTATGTCCCTCCTGATGACCATGGTTGTGTTTTTACTGTAAACTTACCTAGAAATTCTGATGGAACTTGAAGTGTAAACAAGTAAACAAATAAACAAAAAGTCTGATCAGAGTGATGGCAGATTTACTTGTCTTGCAGGTAGCTGAGAGCGACTAATTTCTTTCCAAATAAATTCCAGCTTTCTTTGAGCAAAACCACATTAAAGTAGATAAAATGACATGAGAACCTTTAAAAACCCAAGTACAGCATAAAAATGTATTGTCACTTAAAAATCCCAATTAAAAATGAAAAAGAAACAGACATTGTATACTTGAAGTATGGGATCACACATGCTGCAGATAAAACTAACAAAGTATCACCTGACTTATAGAACAGAAAAGAAACCTTGTTTGAACATAAACAAAAGAATCTGACAGGATTATTTTTGGCCTGTTTTTAGAGAAACAGAAATGCAGACAGCTGACTACAACACATGCATTCAGAAGCAATGGTTAGAATCATTACTCTTGATAAGTAGAAACAACTGCTATTTTTTCTTCAATATTGAGATACAATGACAATCACCCAGGAGTAATATTTCCCTTTTTTTGATATATGGGAATTTTTTTACTTTTATTTTAGCAGTGAGAGTTATACTGTGGAATATAGAATTTGGAAGAACATGGATTTGAGCATGTACAAGTGCAGGTTTAATATTTCTTTTAATACAAGTAGCCAAGATTCTTTTACCTCTTGCTTTAACCCTCACATAAGGTCATGGTTCTTCCTTGCAATCATTTCGTACCTTTATTACTTAAGGGGAAAAAAAAGGCATCAAAATGTGAATGTGTCAGAGTTCTGATGGTGAATACAGGGACCTGTCTTGGCGGTGTTATATCTTTGTAAAAATGCTTGCCAAAAAGATGTGATAATATTGCCACATCAGCTCTTTCAGACAATACAGATTCCCTTTAAGATCCTTGGCTACTGTTTCTTCAGGGAGTTGATTTGATTGCTTATAGGCCTAGGAGCTCACACAGCAGATCTTCCTGTTTTTACTCATGGGATTTTCAAACACTCCCCAGTTTTCTGGAGATAAACTAGACAGATATATGTAAGCTAATTTGATTACTTGTTATGACAAGGTTAATTTGATTATTATGACTTTGAGGTTTTGAGATCCAACTCTGCCATCATTTATCTTGCCAGGTGATGCTTTTTTTCATAAGAATTGCAAAAATAGAACCAGTCCATTGTTAACTGTATGCTTGACTTCCCACAGTGTTGATTCCAAGGTATCTCACTCAGGCATCCAACCACCAGCAATCTCCTTTATCCCTGTGGCCTTCACCCCTTGCTGTGAGGATGAGTTTATGAATTAAATCCCTTGCCATAATCAGCTTAACAACTCTGAATTTAAGTTACTGTTTGCAGTTGCTGTTGTCTCTTGGGGCTGACAGAGTTAATGGCAGCCTTCATAAAACCCATCAGTGTTTTTCCTGTAGACAAAATAACTGCAAGGAAAAAAAAAAATAGTGAAGCTAAGAACAAGATGATTAAACAAGCATCTTTAAACAAGGCATGATACATAGCAGGCAATAGCTGTGAAACAATTGAGACCTTGTTTCCTGCTTTGTCTTCAGATACATATCCTGCTGTGAGCTCGTGGCTAATTGTTTAAAATATTTCCCTCTAGCCTCTTCCTTTATTTTTTTTTTTATTCCTTCTGTATTCATGACCAGTAACAGCTACTGCCTCACACTGGTACAAGCAGTTAAGTCTGAAAAAGTAACAGACTGATCCATTCCTTGTAGTCCTTGTCCTTATAGCAATGGACATAGAAAAGTTTCATCTTTAACTGAATTTGTGGAAAAGAGAAACAAATTTTCCATGATGTAATTGAACCTGAGCTTTTTAATAGAGACAATGAAAGGAGCATACATTTGTTATTGACTGGGGAAGGAAAGCTAAATGCTCTGCCATCTGGGGATTTTATCGAGCAGCACTTTGAAATACTCTAAAACAAAAGTGAGCAGCCTGATCCACGTATTGGCAAAGGGGAGAATGACTTGAATTAAATTTGCTACTCTGGGTTCTAAGACAGTATTGGTCACCATAACCTTGGAGGTAAAAGAGGTGTAATTGCTTTCCTGCAATTATAGGTGGAGTTCATATAGAAATATTTCCTAAAAAGACGAGGGAAATATCCACCAGCAGCCAACTATTGCAAGACAAATTATCTGCCCATAGAAATAGATACAACCCCATTGACACTAGAGGAGTTTTATCCACTTACAATAGCAAAGATCTGCCTTCTTGCTGAGGTTTGTTGCTGTACACAGTCTGCCCCGGGGTCACTCTGTAATTACTATAGAAAATAGTGTACTCACTTGATAACTTCTTTGAGCAGAAAAGCAATTAGCCTGCCAAGTGATTTGATGTTCCTAAGAAGGTACTGGAGTTTTGGAGGCTGGAGGTTTTATCAGAATTAAGTGGAAGAGGGAAAAAGTCTGGCTAGCAGAGTACAAAGGAGAGGTGTGGGTAGGGAGATAGAGATGGCCACTTTAGGAATTACAGCTCCCAACAAAACTCAAAGCTTTGAGACAACACCAAACTCAGAAAAATACTTTTGCTGCCAGCTAATGGTACAGGGTCCTTGAAATAGTGGGAAAAACAACTGGAGATTCTACCTGAACAATTTTCCCAGGCTGGTCTAGGCTGGTGAGCAGTAGCCACATTCTACAAGATCAGTTGTCACATCTTTCTGATCTAATATATTATTGGTGCAAAAAGGAAAGAGATCCTTCTGTACAGAAGCATTATTACCTTATGACTGTCATTTCTAGTGTGTAAAATGCTGTTTGACCAGTGCTTCAGCCAAATCCAAGTTTACTGGATGAGTATGGTACTGGTGTAATCTCAGTTTATTGGACACAAAGGCAGAAATGGAAATGTTAGTGGATATCTCAGATTGTTGTAGTATTGTTATCACAATAGCACCAAGTATTATTTTGTTATGGAAATCAAGACAATTTCTCTCAAACAGAAAATAGATGCAACACATGATGGACTGTGCAATGTCTGAAAAAACTGCTTAGGTGGTTGGGAATTGAAGAATAAATTAAAGTGCAGCAACCCTAAAGAATAATAACCATTTTTTGACTCTATTAGAGGGGAAAATGATTTTGCAAAGTGTGATTTACCTGGTTCCATAGAGCAGGCTGTATTGCAAGCCTCTGTTGCATTTTCCTTTCTCTTTATAACTCTCAAAACCCAAATTTGAATCAATAAGATGTAGAATATTGGAATGTCAGTATCTATTGAAAATGAACTGGTTTATGCTGATCTGATCTAATTAAAATCAATGCAGATATCTTTAGAAAAGTGTTTTCTTTTGGGGATGAAGCCATATAGGATTATTGAGTAAATAAAATGTTCTCAATTGTCTGCTTTTTTTAAGAGAAAATGTTTATGTGATTGAATCTCTGTTTATCAATAACTAATATTCTTTTTTGTTCCATGCAAACTAGATTAAAAATGAAAAGACTCATAAGTCACAGCAAAATTTATTTTAAGAGATGGGACTACACACACACACACACACATATATATATACACATATATATACATATATATGTATATGTATATATACATATATATATAATATTTTTTTCAGACCTGCACATTTCTGACATTAGTTGTAACAAATAGAATGTTAAGTCCACATATATCTGAAAGCTTTATGTTTCTAGATGCAGGAGAAAAAGTAAGATTGTATTTCCCCATCCACTTTCAAAAAAACCAAAACACCAGCCATTTAATAACACAAACTCATTTTGAAATCCCAGTCAAGTTCCTAGAAAGCTCCTACCAGCCTGATTTAAGTTTTTTAAAAAATAACTGTAAATTCAAAAGAAAGTAAATCTGTGCCATGCAATGCCTCTGAGGAGACAAAGAATGCAGATCCAGATCTAAGGAAATGGAGGGTTGATGTTTTCTACAGATTAGAATGCACATTATCTAAGTACATTAATTCTTCTTGAAATCTTCAATTTTTAAGGTAGAAAAAAAAAGGAGGGGTGGGAAACTGTTGCAAGTTGATAATTTTTAAGGGAAACTTTTAAAATTAGTTTTCATTTTCATTTTAAAAGGTAAAATATTTTGGTGTTCAATAAAGTAGATTCTGGTTAAATTTAAGTGGCCATCAAGCAGTTTCAAGACAGAATTCACTTCATGCATCATCCCAGAGGATTTATGACATCAGGAGTTCTCACTGCTCCTCAGTGACTGTAGCTGGTGGGAGGCTTCCTGAGAGAACAAGAGAAACTGGAGCTCAGAAAATGTAGAATCAGCACCAGTGATTTTATCCTTTCCTATTTTCTAGCATTTGTTGGGACAAAATCCTGCAGATTCAGGTGCAGGGATCCTACAGATCTCACCTAAAAGAGTGAACTCTCCAAGGTAAGGAGAACACTTACAAGTAAAGTTTTATAATAGAGGCATACTTCTGAGCATGTATCACTTTTCAGGGATATAAGATGTAAGAACAAATGTAATGAAGTAGTTAAGTTCAAATGTAAGTCTGTCATTGCTGCAAGCTGGGAGTAAGAGTTGTAGCCAGCAGAGTTCAGTCTGCAAGTATTTGACATCCATATGCGATGTCAAATAATTTTCTAGGGCCAGATAGTAATGAATAAAAGTTCATAGATTAATTCCACAGTTTTCTCTGCTACAATTTTTAATGAGTTCTCTCAATTAGAGATTTACATAAGGCAGCCTGTTAAAAAATCAATTGAGATACTTCCATCATAAATCTGAACATGCTGTAACATCAAACTCTGCTTGGGCAAAGTAAACTTTTAGAGGATTTTTTTTTTAGCGACGTTTAGTTTTTTTGCATTGGTTTTAGTATGCAATTTAATGAAAGTTTTTTGATCATGTAAAGGTTCTTTAGATACTTTGAAGAAAACATTACTTTCAGTTCTACCCTCTGCTGTAATGACTGTAATGACATTGTATTTGTCCCTCAGCCCCTTAGATCAAGTGTAAAACATTTAGTGGTGAGGCTTGTACAAGATAGGCTGTGTACATTCACAGGTAAAAACTGTTTTAATGCGATTAAGTCAGCTAATTGTGAGAACACCACTTGGAGTAATGATTGTCCTGTCACTGTAGAAAACTGTACCAAGGGGAAAATATCATGGGATTATTAGAGATGACTCCTGATACAAGGAGTCTTGCCTACTTTCTCTATTTCCACCCATGGAAGTTTCACAAACTCACCCTCTTGTAAATCACTGGGCTTGCTTTGATGCATCCCCTGCTTTTGATTGCATTTACAGCAGTTCTTTTTCTCTCATTCCATATGCACTCCCAAATTACCCATCCTGACAGCTGTTTGCAGTGAGCCAGCATCACAGTTTTAATGAGCTGGTTTGTGATTTTTTTCTCTGAAGACATATCAGGCATTGCAGACCTCTAATTAGTGGTACTTATGGTTAAAGTTCAATAGTCAAGTCTTTTGAGGCATTAAGAGATTATACTCTTTAATAGCTCTGAAATTAATGAAAAACATCCTTTTTGCTTCTCATTTCTCAGCTTTACCAATATCAGTATATAATTTGGTGTCATGGAATATGTGCATTGTGTCTTCAAGAGGCTATACTGGTGCATTGGCATGTCACCAAAATAGGGGAAAAGCTCTTGTCTATCAAAGAACAATGAAACCCAAAAAATTGAGTGAATCAAAATGAATGTCTGTGTGTGTTTGTTTCTGTCAGGGAGAACTTCTACTTTTTTATCCTTGGCTATGATCTTGCAATAGATCAAGTTGTCCCTTCTTTTTCATTTGACTGACAGCAGAGCCAACACTTACTGAAACATTTTTTTCATTCCTCACGTTTCCTTTCACCTTTTTTTTTAACTTCATTTTTCTCTCTTCCTCTCCAGAGATCCATCACAGCAGCATGCAGCTCCCAAGTGTAATCTTTGATTTGTTTGGCAGTGTATGTCTAAATCAAAGAGAAGGGACAGAAAGTATCCTGACTGATGTACAACCTTATAATGATTTTCTTCCATAATCTCTCTCAGAGTGTCATTCAAGGAAAAGCTAAATAATTACTTTAAAACAAGACCTCAGAGTTCTGCATGTCAAAAGCTCATTCAGTATCTCAGTTGCAAGAAATAGTCTATCTTGTCAGTCAATTAAAGAAAAAACAAACAACCAAACAACAACTCAAAATCCATAACAAGAAGGAGCCAAAAACTTGAAATATTCCCTAAAAATCAGTGACCCCAGCTAGTTGGAGGAGTCATAAAAATTGATCCCAGATACCCCAAATATTCCTTTCTGTGATTAATGTGTTAGAGCAAAAGTCAATGAAGACTGCCTTGAGTTACTTTCCCACCAAATTAAGGGTATTGAGTTGCCAATACACCTCAGGCTTTACAGATCTTATCAGATGTAGCTAAAATCTGCAGTGTAAGAGCATTTTTTTCCTAGTGTGATGTTCAATTGAAGAGCAGTTTCAAGTGTTTGTCATCAACATCAAAAACATTCAGCAAATTTTAGACTCTTTTTATTCAATGGAGTTGCATGTTTTGTAATTATGGAGTATATTTATTTATCTGTAAGGTTTGCAATTCTACTTCCAACATGTCTCTTTCCCAGATTTATCACTTTGCTTACTCTATTGCAGCATATTTTGTCATATTTAAAGAAGAACTCTTCAGTCCTTGAGTGCAGCTGTCCCAGGTTTAAAGCCAGTGTAAAGGAAACATCCCAGTACATCTGCATGAGTTACACTCCTGTGACAAACTTGTGGCAGAAGAAAAGGTGTCAACATGTGCATTTCTCCAAAGGTGAATTCATTTTTTCTCTCTCTCAAATTCTTCATAATTTTTTATGTACTTTTGGCTTTGCTCATGTACCCTGCTGGACAGCCTTGAGTGCCATATGAGAAGAACATTTGCAAGCTGAGCCATACATCCCCAAGTGTCCACTTCAGTCTGGAGACCCCCTTGGCACCCAAACTTTTCTAAGCTGTTTGAGTTCTGTGAATACCCAGCAGCACAGCCATCATGCCTGAGCTAATGGCAACAATTTCATGCCTGCCCTAGGACCATTTTCTACGCTTTGAGAAGTTTGTTCTGCTGGGCAAATTCAAAGTACTGCCTTTGCAATTACATCAGTGATAGGCACTTCAAAACTGTAACCAGAGGAAATTATATCAGTCTCTAATTTTTTAACAACTTAACACATCTCCCATCTAAGAAATTAAAGACTTCCTTTCTTAAATATCACCTTATATTGCTTTCCTACCAGATAATCATCCTCATTAATAATTAGAATCACAGTTGTCTTTATTTCCCCTTTATTGTCTGTGTGGCCCTCTGAATCTTGGATATTTTTGTAGTATGGTGGCAATGAAGTTTTTTTTCCTCAGATTAGTAAACATCTCTCTTCATGGAATATCACACAGGAATGGCAAAGCTATGAACTTAAACTACTTGTGACCAAGGAATATCAAGAATTGTACTTCTCTCAGGTAATTTAATCTTGGCATAATTGAAGGGTAGCAATAGTAAGTTAGATTGTTATCCTATTGTCCTAAAACCCAGTCATCCTCCTCCAAAATTCACTTTGTGTAAATTCCACGTGCAGAAATGCATTTCCTGCATAGATTATACAAACTATAGCCCTGGCTCAACATTTAAATGCACATTTCTTTTGGGAGCACTTGTGCTGTTTGGGGTGTGGTGAATCTCCCTGTTAGTTGGAAGTCTCATTGTCTCTGTTCACTTAGGAGAGAATTTTGGCCCTAAACTGAATTTATGAACACAGAATTTGGCACTAGATTGCCCTGGCCTTTTATTTGCACACATTCACTGTAAATGCAATCAGAAACCCAGACTGCTGAACTATGGACATGGCAATCATTTCTGCCAGACTTGATTGTGCTGTATTAAATAATTATGCAAGTATGAAAAAATAGCCATAGAGGCAATGGTGAAAGACCTCAAAGTTAATTTCATTCATTTTTCTATTACAATATTCAAAAATATTCTGGAGTACTTTATGGAATCATTAAATACATGCTTATTTTATGTTCCTATACAATTTTAAATTATACAATAACATAATTATCAGTTATTATTTTTTTTCACGGTGTGGATATGTGAGCTAGACTTTGCTGTTATTAGTAATTCAGCTGGTGTGCAAAATTATACAAGAATGAATAAAAATAGAATGCAGCTTGTTGTAATGCTTTTTGTATTCAAATCATCCCAAAGTAGTATGTGGAATATGTTGTTGTTAGGTATCATTAAAGACCTTCCATTAACTAGGAAAAGCTTTTTGATGGCTTCAAAGATAATTGAGAAGAAGTTTCTTAACATAAGACTGAAAAGAAAAAGCACTCTCAAACAAATTTATCCTACAGAGAAAAAGCTGGGGAGAGAACTGACTTTTGTCCTCTCTTGGTCAATAGATGCTATTAAATCTCTAAAATCATATTAAACAATATTTTAGGGAACTGACTTAAATCCACAAGGGGAATAAAAAAGAATGAAGGCAGATATTTATTCTGAAATTTCATACTGTTGCAAATGTATTTTGGAGGCTGATGATATACCATGAGCTTGTTATTATTCACTTTGGTCAGACAGCAAGGGTTAAGATAGGAATATCATCCCAGGCATTAGCCATTAATCTGGGTATCTCATTGCTTTACTGAAGTTTAGGTTATACAGATAATAACTCCAGGCCATATTCTGACACCTTTATTCATGCTGAATGGCATCTGAGGCAGCATCAGGTCCCACAAAAATCAGAGGGTTATTTACAGGGAAATGCATTAGTCAATGTAGCAGGATATTGTCCTTTGGCAACATCTGCAGATGGAATTGTGCTGTAAAACATTACTGCACCAGCCAGAGCAGGGTGTCATAATGGCTTTGTATACAAATTTGAAACAGATTCTGAGATAGTGGCTCCCGATAATGTCATTTTTCTCTCTCTTTCAAAGTGTGATTCCTTGCCACAGAGGTGTAATGACAGTACAACACTAACATTTTATCAAAGAATGACAGTCAAACCATGGATAGCAGTTATCAAAGTTATAACACTGAGACATGTTTGGGACTCAAAGTCAGAAAGAAATTCACTGTGTTGATCTTAAAAACTGTTTTAGTTTGATGTAGACTGCTTTGTGATTCTGTGTCTTCTTTTCATGGTTTTATTGCTATATTCTGCAAGCAGAATCACAGACAATTCTTTTAAAACATACTTTAAACTTCTTTTGGAAGTAAATTAGACTGTTTTGGAGCCATTTCACACTATTTGAGTCTGTGCGATAGCCATAATATTGAAAAATATTATTGTAAGGCTTCTAACGGTAATATTTGTAAATGGTGAGTCCCACTTTAATAACCTCAAAGAACTACACTTACAAGAAACTGGCTTTTGGGGAAATTAAAATAGCAGAGAAAAGAAATAGCAAAAATTAGCAATGGAAAACCTGCATTTCAAGAGACAACAGAAAGAACATTTTATTTGATTTAGTCAGATATCTAGTTTCAGCACGATGACAGTAGTTTGTGTAATCAAAATCCCTCACATCGAGAGCTAATAGAAAACCAAATAATAACCAAATGTTATTGTGTACTTCCTGATAGCACAAAAGCAAGTGCACACCAAGTGCTCTTGCCAGCAGATGATCAATTTTGACTTCAAGAACAGGAGCTCCAGGAGAACCTTGGGCCTGACTTGTGGCATCTCTGCAATTTGTATCTCATGGTGCTGCATCTGTGTCTTCAACAAGGCTTCTGAGGGAGAGACAGGTACCTGTGCATGTGAGAACATCCTAGCCCTGCACTTTGGGGAGGAACTGATCAGATGTTGGTGGGAGCTGCTCTGTTCTCCCAGGCAGCAGTTGCTGTAGTGCTGTACAGCATGTTATCAAGCTGCCAGGGCTGGTCCCTACATTGTCACTTTTGTTAACATGGGACAAAGAGCTTACATTGCTTGTAGAAGCTGGGAAAACCTTTCTGGAGCCTTTCCAATGTTTTTAACCCAAGAGGTCAGGCCTCTTGGCTGAGAGTGTTGAACCCTGTTAAGATGTGTGGGCTCTTGATGGAGCTCTCTGGACAGAAGTTCACAGCCCAAAAAGTGAGCTATTTGAACAGTCCCTCTGTCTGGTGTAAAAATGAGTTCATGCTTTGAGGAGAGGTATAGTGGGTATGTGGATTCATCAAGCATGATGAGGAGGGTCATCAAGCACTGAAACACTCCAGAGGACATCTCCCTCCCACTCAGACAAAAAAATTTGGGTTTGGTAAGGTGTTTCAGGAGCACTGCTTTTTCCTGTGCTGAGAACTTCCACACCACTTAGTGCAGTCAGTCATCACAAAACGGATGGACCGTAAAACGTGAGCTTCTCCACACCTTCCTCCATCAGACAGTTCACCCAGCAAAACCTCTCATGGTTCACCTCCTTGGTTTTCTCATTCTTTTAAGGGAAGCTGTTAGATGATTCTCAGAATGTTTATGTGCTCCTTGGCTGTGCTGGCATCATGCTGTCAGCCTCTGTCGCTGTCTTCTGCTGTTACCCAACAACTGCTATCTCCTCTGAAGGTCTTTTGTGCTTCTGTCTCTATTGCTGCCTTCTATGCCTTGTCTCCCCTTAAAAACTGCTCATCTAGCATATGAAAATGAGATTTTTCAGAAGTTAAAACTTGTCTGGTTGTGAATCTTTGTCATGGAATAACATTGAAGTGTCCATTACACGAAGGTGACAGTACCTCTTGTCCCACTCTGTACCATCTGCTACTGCTGTCACTTTGCCAAGTTTCTGCAGAGCAAATAAGAGTTAGAGCTTTTCAACCCAGTGATGGGGAAGCCTTATCCTGCCCCTCAAAACAGCTAAAACAATTCGTCTGAAAACCCCCTCTCCCTTATCCCAAAATGCAAATCCACATCAAAAATGAGTCCAAAGGAGACACAAGCAGTTTGGAAAGCTTCATGTTAAGTGACAGGATGATGAAAATATCCAAAAATGAGAAGTGTTGTGCAACTTTAAGATTGGCTGAAACTAAAGGCAGAACTTTTAATTAGAATCTAGATAGTGAAAACACCAAAGCTACTGATACCAGGGCTAAAATCCGCTCTCGGATAACTATTTTGTAAGGAGTTCATATCAACTTTCAGCAGAAACATTTGCACAGATCCAGCTATGAATTTCAGCCTGGATTTTCACAGTCATGTTTGATTTTGATGCTGGCATCATTATCAGTTAAAGCTGAAGTAATTTCTGTCATTATATATTCCATGCTATGAGGAGAATAGATAGCAGCAGCATGTTAGGATGGTAAAAAAGATGAAAAGTTGTAAGTATAATTACTTTAAAATATAATCAGATTACACTATTGGGCATTATAATATTTCATGACATGCACAGTGCCACAGATGGAAATTTTAATTTTTACTATTGATAAATTATTATTTTATTAATTCCTTGAAATTTTTGATTCTCCTTATGGGAGAGTTCCATGGAAACAAATGTGAAGTGAACAGAGTTGAAATGTGCAGCGTGGGTGGTAAAACAGCCAAGTTGATCACTTTTTTCTGGGTTTAATGGTGTAGACAATTATCTTTGATTTATTAAAAGTTAAGAATGTACATTAAAATAATTGAGTCCCCCAGTAAGTACAGGAGCAAAAGACAGGACTTCCTTTGGTAGACACAGAGGTACAAATACAATATTAATGCTTAGTATAGGTAAAGTAATAAATTGTCTGCTAAAGAAATCTGACTGCATTGGGAAACTGAGCCGTTCCAGGAATTGATACTAATGCCTAATCAATTTGTGTTCTATACATAATATGAGTAATAGGAGAGAAAAGCAAACTGAACACTTGTATTGTGGCTTAGTAATTAAATTCTCTGTCTTAAGACATTGTCCTACCACAAAAGTATTTTCAAATAAATGAGTAGCCTATAAGTGCACCTTTAATAACATTGACTTAAGTACAGTCCAGCCTACCACTATATACCTGTGCTTTTAAAATTTAAGGCAATGTTTCTAGTTAATCCTCTTTAACACAATTGGAATTTCTAAAACATTTGTTCTGAGATTCTGCATTAAAGTTTAGTTGTTGAACTTTTGTCTGGCAATCAAAGAACCACTGCATCATATTGATTGCTGCTGCCAAGTACCTCTCAGCCCTTAGGACTGAGCAATTTTCTTGGGGAATTGGAGCTAACTATGGCTAGTACCAGCTCACCTCTGTCTCAGTCTTTGGCTGTTTGTAAAAGAAACTTCTCCAGTGACTTGAAGTCTTTGATCTACAGACTGCTCCGCACAGCAAGCAATAATTTAAGGGTTAATCTGCCTTATCTTCTGCCACTCTTTAAGATGATCTCCAAATTCAGCTCACAGATTTAAGCCTAAAACTCATCTGACTGCAAGGCTATTCCACAATCTTAACCCTAATTCATCCCCTTTATTCTTCAACATATCTGCAGTGATTTGGTTATAGGACTTTTTAATAGGACCATCTCCATCCTGAGTGTAGTCCCATATGCTGTGATTTTGTAAATACTTGTGATCTTTGTCTAAGGAGATGAGAAATGCCTCCCTTCATCTGAGCAGAAGACCTTGTGCACTTCAAAAATCTGATCACTTTTTTGTCACAACACTTACCCCAGTAAAACACATCCCCTCTCTCATAAGACCCTGCAAAGTTATTCTGGGCAAAATAACTTGCTACAGTAGGACTTGCTCCTCTGATCATCAGTGTGAGAGAGCAGAGTGGCTAGCAAGCAGAAGCTGTATTCTCTACAATGCAGAGGCCAATTTCATCTTATGAGGTGCAGGCATCAATCTTAAGATGACGTGTTGAAAGCAATAATAACAATTTAGTCAGCAGAAGAAACAAACATATTTATGAAGTCTTGGTCCCACTGAAGTAAATGGCAAAACTTCTATTAACTTCAGAGTATTCTCTTTTCAAATACTGTAAAGTACAGAAAAGTGGGGCCTGAGAAATAGCTGCAGCACCCAGACACAAAAGGCCAGCTCTCCATTCCCCTTTAAGGGCTGTTTCTTGCATCCATCAGCTCCTGCCATCAACCTTCCAATTTGAAGCTGTGCCAAAGATCACAGGTAACATTACAAATTACTTGATGTTTTCCTTCTGTTAAAACTGTCTGCTTTTGAACTGCCTGCCTGACAGCCTGAACTAACCTAGGACAGAATAAAAGAAATGCTTCCAAAGGTACCCCCCAATCTCCAGTGTTGATGTGAAATAGGGATTGATTCCTTCCATACACATCACCATCACTGCACGTTATCTGAGCCTCATGGCTCATGGGGTAAAGGTGTTTGCAAGCAGCACAGGATCAGCCCAACTGAATCCCCTGTTCTTCAGCAGTGCTGTAAATAGCACTTTTGCTGGAGTTTTGTTTAGTTGGTTTATTTGTATGTTTTATTTTTCTTTGTGGCTTGTTATTTTTAAATATCCTATAAGTTCTTGATCTCTTCTCCTTTTAAATAAATAGCAGTGGTACTTGGGAAGTCAAGAGGGAGAACAAACAAAGTTTGTTAGCACTAAAGCCTTTATTTTTGTCATCCTGTCAGCTCTACTACATGACAGGGGATAAGGTTTAGATGAAACAGCAGGACTGATCCTACATCAAAATAAGGAATGAGCCCTTCTGCTTAAAACTGTGCTTATGTGAATGCAACCATTGAATGGTAAGTAGATCTTTGAAGCTGAAAGCTTAAAAATAATAGTTCAGGCATTTAAAAATACACACACATACATGAATCTTTCTGAGAATTTGACACTTTATTCCTACTGCATTGCTGGTGACAACTGGATGGCCAACCAAGCGCTCCAAGCACAAACATCCAAAACAGCAAATCCATAAATAACTGTGTCAAACAGTGCAGAGAGGACTTGGGAGTTCTCTTCTCTGCAGACATCTCTAGTAGTTTAAAAACAAACAAACAAAACCCCGGAATTACTTCCCCTACCTGCTATTGAGAAGAAAAAAGAAGGATACATAAAGCAGTGAAAACTCATTCCAAGTATCTGAGTGCAATTTTTTAAGAACTTTTTGGCCATGGGTGCTGATTGATCTGTGCCGTGACTTTCCTTAGAAGCTTCTTGTTGCATTTGGATTGTTTATGTATTTAGTGCAAGACATTTTCCTACAAAACTCCCTTTTTTTGGTTGTCTGGCTGAGTCCTTTTCAAAGTGTATAGCATGGCAGTAAAGCAGTAGATGTCATGTTTATAGTAAACTCTACAATGAGGCAATTGTAATTGTTTTGGTCAAAGGCATGGCTGAAGTGATAAGAAGTCATTGTTCCCATAATATTCAGTATAGGGTTTAATATCTTTGTATCAGTTCTTAATCTCTGAACACAAAAACAAAGAGGAACTAGGTGATCAGCTCTGGTTTTAATATCACAGAAAAGAGGCTGGTTTTATCTGTAGGAGCTCTGCAAGGCTTATTGCTGTTATCCCAAAAGCCAGCACTAGTGTCACTATTGCTATATCTGCTCTGTGAATATTCAGTCACACTCAGCCACTGACACAGTGCTGCATGAAAGTGGGAAGGGATTTGGTTTGGAGTTGTGCAGACAGGAATACAGGCAGTGGATGGAGAAGACAACAGAGGGGGAGAAAAGCCGTATCACCTTTCAGCCAAAAATGCTTGGGATGACATAAATACATACAAACACAAAAAACACTCCCCAAAAGAGAGAGACACTAGAAGGAGCAGAGTCAGGTGACAGTTGGATGAATAAAAAGGGTCCAAAAAATTAGAAGATATTGTGCTACTGTTAATGTTTCCATTCTCATCTCTGCCTTTTTTCCCTGTTGCACTAGACTGGCTACTGACTGACAATGTGATTAGGCTTTTGGTCTTTTGATTTCACAGCAGAAAATGCAAAGTTATTTCAGTGCTTCTCATTTCCCACCTCACTCACTTCATAACTTTACAAGTTTAGGATTGTTTTACTTCCTTCCATTTATTATACCTTTCTTCATTAACAATACTTTGCATAATGCAGTTCTGAGTTCCACTGATGTGCAATCTGCAATAATATACAATTAGGTGACCTTTTCCTCCTTTTTTTTGGTAGTAAGATATCTGTCATATGATGATTTTTGTCTATTGCCACTGCAAGCACCAATGTTTAATAGCTATATCTTTTGTAACAATAAGAAGAAATAACTGAAATCCAATTCAAAATGAGGACATGTTAGATACAGCTGGCTCTCCTACATTCCTTGAGTTTTATACATCTTTACTGTGGTTCAAGAGATTTTGTTTCACTATGATTCCTCATTATGATTCTTTAAATCAAAATTATTTCAACTTCAAATTGGAAAAAGAAATAAAGGAATAAACTATCAAAAATGAGAATTCATCTCTTTTTCCAAAAGATTGTTTTATATACAACTCCCAGCAATGCGTCACTGTGATACATTGCACTTTCATGTCTTTATAGAATTATTACTTAACTTTTCTTATTGAAATTTTTGATACAGCGTAAAGATGACACAAGTAAAGCCCAAGGGACAAAGCATTTGATTTATCTACTCTTCTCTTATGTGTGACAATAAACAAACAAAAAAAGACAAATCCATTTCTCCACCGGATGTATGAAAGTAAACACAGAGGAAGAAGTTTCAAAGGAAAACAGCATTAATGGCAACTTAAACATAACCAAACCATCAAAGGAATCTCTGGTACAGTATTTCTTTAACAAGAATAGCGAAGAACTTACTACAAGGAAAAAACCACCCAACTTCTTGTCACAGTGAAATGATGACAGAGCCTGCAGAGCATGCTAAAAGAAGCAAACTAAACATGGTAATTAAACTTTTTGCTTGTCAGTGCAGCCTCTGAAGACTTAAGCAGGCTGAGCTAAAATATCAAACCAGAGGAGAAATTGCCTGCAACAGCTATAATGGTGGAATGTCATTGGAATATGTTCAGGATATAAGTTTTTGTATTTTTTTTTCCTATTTTTTTGTATTTATGTATGGACTTATGTATTTATGTATTGGACTGTGGTCAGTCCAAAGAGTTTACCTCTGTCCTCCACTGCTGTTGCCAGTATTTTGGGACTTTCTGGCTCTGTGAAGTGTGGTTCTGTGGTTTGCTCTCCAAGAGTGGCACACATAAGCACAGCTCAGCCATGTGGAAATGTCATCATGGCACTGCTGCTTCCAACTGGTGGCCAGAGCAATCAGCTCATTGAACACACCTTTAAAAGAGAGGACTGTGTTTCACTACCATTAGGCCAGCCACCTGGAATTCTACTCAACGTTGTGCTCCACTGGAATAATTCCTGTGGCATGGTCAGAGAGGTGACACCCAGTTTTTCAATTATGTTTCCAGTTTAATGATCAAATCAAGGAACCATTGTAGCTTGCACCAACATATCTAAAGTGGATCTAGAAAGTTTATTTATTATGAGAGCCACTTCCCACTTTCTGCTCATGGTGATTATGTCATAGAGGCAGCTGCCCTATGACTGGAGAGTGAATCCCAAAGTGTTTAGTGGCAGCATTGATGTTCACCCTGGGCAACATGCAGGTGCCCTGTGTATAGAGCCCTTCAGCTGCTTGGAATGAATTCTGGTAGAAGTAATTTGTGCCATGAATTGCAAGAATGCTGAAAATATCTCTCCAATTTACCAGGTTCCTTGCTGCCAAGAGGAGGATTTATTATGTCAATGACTCATTCTGCACTCTGGCACATGACAGTGAGTAGCTGATGTTTCTGCAGCAGCCTCAGATCTATGACAGAGTGACTCCCACAGTGCTGAAACCCTGGGCCCAAGTGATTCAGCCACAGAGGTACTGGTGCTCCTGGTCTGTATTTGCAGACAATTTAGGTGATCAAGTACATTTTAAATGTGTTTCTTCCTCTGCCATCCCTGATATTCTTTCTTACTCAGATCTATTATTAATGGAGGTTTTGTCCAGTTAGAGGGGGTTTTGTCCAGTTTTCTCTCAGTATTTCTCTGGGATCCTCCATGTTATCAGCAGCTTTTCACCATTTCACCATTAGCAGCCATTGCAGCCTCCTTCTTTGGAAGTCTTGGGAATGCAGCCCTGTGGCCTCCTCTCATCCCTCCTGCCAAGCTTGCTCAGGTCTCTCAGCCATCCTTCTTTGGATAGCAAAAATCCAGTGGAATCAAAGCTCTACATGAACAAATTTGCCCTGCTTTATATTTCATGAGGTCCTTTTATTCTTTCATACATATGTCTCTCTTCTGATTCCTCCCAGCCACTTCACTTCTTTCTTTTTCTATTCCCTTCTGTAACTGCAGCACCCCACAGTGCTCCTCTTCCTCAACATAGATTTTTACACACCTGTGTATCACTACATCTGACTCTCTCAGGTCATGTCAACCTATGAAAACAGCTCCTGTTCCCTTTGCAACTCTCAGGCAGCAGAATCTTCTGCCAGAGAGATCTGAAGAACTTCCCCTCCTTGACTTTAAATTGGTTTTGCACATCTTGTTTTCAGTGAAGAACTTGGACAAGCAGATGAAAATAAGAAGCATTAACATTAAGAGGTTTTACTGCTGTGATACTGGTCATAAAAATCCTGAGATTAGTCCTCAGACTACAGACTGCAAGTCATTATTTTACTCTTTAGAAAATGAAAGTAAAGTATTAATAAGTGTGGCAATCCATCAAAGCATAGTTAAGTATAAACTAAAGGCCACAATTATAGCAGAGTGAATTGTTTTTTCTGTCTCATCACATCTGTCACACTCAAGAAGTTCATGAATTCTGAAGTCTTCTCATTTAAAATAGAGGGAATATCTCCTATATACTTACTTTTAAGGACAGAGCTTACTGTCCTTAAAAGGGAACTGCTGTACATCTATAATGAAAAAAATATATATATCACATATTTCACTTTTGGAATTAACCAGATCTGAAAAATTACATAAAAGGTGTTCATACAAGATCAAGGAATGTGGTCATGCCCCCAGTTGCTTTTCTTGGGGATTATAGTAATGCACCAGTCAGGTCTGTTTCTACATATTTGCAACTGCTGCTTCTGATTTGTTCTGTCTTGATCTAATCAATCTGAATTCATGGTCTCACCCTGTGCTGCCACAGAGATGACTCGTGGAAACAGAGCAAAATGCAACAGATCCTGCCCCAGTGCTAATGGCTGTGACATGGTGTCTCCACTACAAGGTCAGTCAGCCAAAAGCTGAGTGCCTCTGACCTCCCTCTTGCTTGTAAACTTAATTGCTTTGGTTGTTAGCTAATGTCCTGAAGAAAAAATAATGGAAAGGATGTAACCAGCTGATTCATATTTATTTATTCTGTATTTGAATTTTTACCGATTAAGAAATCATTGCCTGAAATTGGGAGTGCTGCTCAAACACGAATATTTTCAGTGCTGACACACCAGATTAGCTGAGTGTAATATTGCATTTTCAGTGGATTGTCTATGCATGTCCTAATTCAAGAATACACCAAACATTGCTGTCCTGACTGCCCATATATTTGGATGCTACTTATGTTTACATTTAGGCATGCTGTCCAGTGATGGGATGAGTTCCTAAAAACCTCCCTTATAAACAAAGCAGAGACTGAGAGGCTTTAAAATTCAAATTATGGGATTCACATGGATTCAGTTGCACTGGTGTGAAACTGTGTGGTTATGCATACTTTTACTGCCTGGTATGCAGATAGGCAGGAGGGCAAGGGAAGCACTGAGACTGTGATTTTTAAACAGTTAGATTTAATCTTTGGGATTTATCTGATTTCCTTTAAATTACAAAAAAAAAAAAAAAAAAGTAGTGTATGCTTCTCCCTTCCCAGTTTAGTCACTTGCAGTGAAACCAAGCCCTAAGATAGGTATGGCCTGAAAATTGAACAGTGAGATGATTTAAATGCAACAGGAGATGGTCTAGAACTGTGTATTGGCTTTGTTTGCAAAATTTTTCAGTTGTAATGTTCACTTAGTTGAATAGTCTTGTACCTAGACAAGAATGTTACTGCCTTGAAAATCGCTGAGGCCAAGTTCCCAGAAACCTCTTCCAGCCACTTTTTGCAAGTTTGACAAAATGAAAATGTCAATCACTTTAGTGACACTGTCAGGGAAAAAAATAAAAAAGTCACTCTAGACACACCCCAGTAGACAGGAACTTTGTTAATTACCAGTGGGAAATAGGAGTAAGAACAATTTTCTTTTCACAGGGAAGACATTAGATTTTTGTTTTTTACTTGGATATTAAAGCCATAAAGCTTTGATAGGTTAATTTGTTGGATGTGAATGTGCTCAGGCTCTGTGATGAAGCTGTTTTGACATTGGATGATGGGGATGTTTTGATAGTGCATTTCTGGGGTTGTGCTGTTTTGGCACAAAAGGCTTTGACAAGCTATGTGTAAGGTCACTGTGACCTACCACTGCTGTTATGTGGAAGTGATGGAAATGTAAATGCACTGATGTCTAATCAATGGAATGAAGCACTGTGGGATATATGTAAATTGAGATGTAAATCAGCTAGTTTGGGTTATAAATGAGCATGTTAGAAAAATGCTTCATGGGAGCTTTCTTGGCCATCTTGGTTTTCCAGTCCTGTGGGTAGAGGAGTATTTGACTTTAAAAACCTTATGAGGCCTTGTGGTGGCCTTCCACTACTTAACAGGGCCTACAGGAAAGATGGGTCAGGATGGTTTATCGGGAAGTCTGCTAATAGGAAAAGAGGTAGCAGGTTTAAATTGAAATAGGTAGATTTAGAGAAGATATTATAAATAAATTTTTTACTGTGAGGCTGGTGAGGCACTGGAACAGATTGACCAAAGAAGTTGTGGCTGCTCCATCCCTGGAAGTGTCCAAGGCCAGGTTGGATGGAGCTCTGAGCAACCTGGTCTAGTGGAAAGTGGACAGGGGGATAAGAACTGAATGCTCTCTAAGGACCCCTCTAACCCAAAACTTGCCTGGATTCTGTGATAGTAACAAAAAAACATTTGGCTTTTCATAGCTGCCTCTTTCCACTGATTGAGACAAAAAAAAAAAAAAAAGTGCATTTTTATTTCCATTTAAGAAAACTTGTGACTGTAATAACCTAATAACAAATTTAAATTGAAAAAAAAGCAACCAACTTTTTAACTGGGTCTTGCATACTCTCAGCCTAATTTCTGGTCAGCCCCCAGCAGGAAAGCTGTTTTAGTGATGTAGAATCCACATCACAAAATTCATTTTCCCTCTCACAGAAGAGAGGCTGCTGTCACTTCTGTCCCTGAGGTGACACCTGGATGAAGCAGGCAGAGTCAGCAGTGCAGGCTGCTGGGCTGGCAGAGCAGAGGGGGCAGTGAGGCAGCCCCTGGTGCAGGATGCTGCCCTGGGCTGTGGGATGCTTGTGGCTGTCCTTTCTTTCACTGTTTTGTGCCAGGCCAGACAATGGTTGGAGAATTAACAAGGGGCTGCCTCACAAATAGAGCAGCCTGTTGTATTGTCTGTTAGGGGATTTAATGGCCTAACAGGACATGGATCAATATCATAGCAGGAGAGGTAAGGAATACAAGAATAGTCACAGAAGGTGAAAAGAGAGAAGAGGCTAGAAGAGGAATTAAAAGGTTCCTCCTTTCCTTCAGAAATAATATTATTCCTATTTTTTTTTAATTTTTTGTCTTTTTTATTTGATCTGTGTGCCTGTATGTGTTTGGGATTTGCTGGAAGCTTTTGCCAGTGTCTTTTTTTGTTTGTTTTGTTTTGGTTTTTTTTTAATTTTTGTAATCATGTGTCTGCTTTACTGCTCTTAAACTGCCAGCACTTGATGTCAGAGCATTGCTGCCCGAAGAGCTTGTACTGGTCCCTATTTCCAATCCTGTACAATCTCAGTTTAATCACTATGGCAGTCAGCTCAGAAGTGCCTGTAGGTGGAAAACATCACTGTAACATGATGCAGTTGATTTTACTTCAGCATGGCTTTGAGACAAGCCATGCTGGCCCATGGAATGTGTGTAGTAACTCCTCTTTCTCTGCATCCATTCACACACATTTGGAGATATAAAATTGGCCATTCTGAAAAAAGTTTCAGAAAATGTACAATAAGCCACTATTTTCAGAAGATAAGAGGAAATATTAAACAGATTGCAAACAAGGTAGCCTGACAGAGAAACTTAAGATGGATATCCCATTAAGCAAACACATCATTCCTTGTTCCCTTCTGTGCCCTTTCACCAATCTTATCACTTCCATCAATGTTCAATCACTCTAATCATCTCTTTCCAGGCTCTGCAACCTGCAAAGAGTTTAAAAAGCCCTGCACTGGCTTTGTGGTTTCATTTCACTTCTCTTTGCTCCCAGCAACACAAATAAGTGATTTCACAACCATTGGGAAGGGAGAGCAGAGGGAACAAAGATTTAACCTACCTCATCTAATCAGAAACTCCTAACAGATGGAGGGAAACTGCTCCCTGAGCCCGACAAGGAACTGAGCCAGGGCTCTTCCCTCATCACCAACTGCTGCCAGCTAAACATCTGAATTTCCTCTCTTCTGGAAGCTTATGAAAGCTCTAATCCAAGAAATGGCACCTCATTCTCTCCTCTTCCCTCCCTCATGCCATCTCCTTCTCCCACAGCGCATGGCGTTACACCCTTCCAGACAGATGAGTTTCAACATTGTGACATTGTCTCAGTCACCATTTTCCACCCACTGTCAAATCCACTGAAAAAACAGCCAAAAAAATCAAAACAAGCCAAACTCCACAGGAAAAAAAAAAAAAAAAAAGAAAACCAGCAAAAGCTGTTAACACTTCCTGTTTCTACATGTCCTCCCAAGGTTTCTTATGTCCAAAAGGTTCAGAGCACCACTGAG